TTTTGTTTGTTCTGTCTGGACTAGGGATGCCAACGAGTATTCGACTATTCGAGTATTGCTCAGTAGTACCGAGTATCGAATACCAAAACGATACTCGACTTATCGGTTTCCTGTTAGAATATTGCTGTCTTCTTTGTATAAAATTGATTTTCTTGAGAACCTCTTTCGGAAAATTTAATAGGCATCACTGATTAATCATACTAGTAAATAAAATACATTTTATTTCGAATGCTTGTGCTAAATTGTCATTTAAAATTCCACCGAAAATTCGTGAGCTATACCTAGGCCAGTACTTTAAGCTAAACATGTCGTAGCCATTTCGTCAAATCGTTACCGTCAGAGCAAATAGTTGCAAGTCTGTAATTTACAAAGTTGAAAAACCGACTGTCCCTAAGAATATTTGACAAGAAAATGTTTCCAAATAAAATAAATTCGTTCCATCCTCTGGTGACTCAGTGAATAGTAAAACTTCTAATCCCTACGCCTTTGTAAACATTAAATGTGTTTTCTTAACGATTACCACATACTATTGTTTGATATGATTTTTCCTTGTTATGATTTTTAAATCGGTGTTCATTTAATATATAAGGATAGATTATTGTTTTTTACTTAATTAATACTGTAAATAATGAGCTATTTATTATGGTGTGTAATGCCTTGTCCAAGATACTTATGTTGATGGTTTTTCCTCCGATGAACAACAAATCATAGAAATGTATAAATAACCTAAAATACGTATTTGTGTGTTTCCGTGTTGTAGATATATTACCAAGCGAGTACTCGAGTATCGCTCGATGAAACAAACGAGTACTCAATTAGTAATTATTCACCGAGTTGACATCCAAGTCTGGACACTTTTCGGTTTGGATGCTAAGATTTGTTTTAAAGTTTTTTGCTCCCAATGATTAGTCGACGGCGTTTCTATTGAATTTTATCTAAGAAACCCTTATCATGCGTATTGAAAGATGTAGCATATGCTTCATTAATTCCACTTGGTCAGTACCGCTGACGGTGGACTAAATGTATACGTTCTCGAGATTACAATCTACCTAGAAGCAATTACTTAAATACTCGCATGATTAGGATGCCATATTTAAATTCGAAATTACCTGTTAAGAATAATGAAATGCACCAACGTTTAGGCTTCAACGTCCTAAGGGAAAATGACATTGTAGTACGATTAAGACAATTCGGTTTAGACAAGTTTTGGTTCTATACTTTAAAATTGATTCATGTATTTACAAGAAAAGTATTTCAAACATTAATAAACTGTAATTTGTCAGTACCTTACCATTAAAAAAGTGAGGTTAAAAAACTTCTTTATGCATACAATACATTTAACTTTAATTATTAAACGACAACACGTTGAAATTGTTTTTAGATTCAAAAAGTTGTAGATGGTATACTATCATCTTATTTTGCTTGTAATGCAAATAATTTAAAAAAAACGTACTGGAATTTTAATCCTTCATCATATCCGTTTGCTTTCAGAATGCCTTGAGATTGTTAGGATTGAGGGCTTAATTGGAGGTTGTTAAATGTTTTCTTTACAATCTTGCAGCAGTATCAAAACTTATGAGTTTTCTACGCTTACCACTACCATTCCCCGTGGTTAATTGAAATAACAACTACATCGTATAATTAGACAGAGCTTTTTCTACAGACATTTGAATCCTTGATACAAATCCTTTGTTTAATGACAAATGTTACTTTGTGCAGAGCAGAACCATATTTATTACAACAACACATACATGATATTATCAAAATGCTGTATACAACTTATTTGTTGAGTTTGATGACTTGATATTTCGACACAATCTAATTCTAATTGATATAAATTGCGCATTTCTACGTACTCGGCCATATTTTTTTTGTACTCATATGAAGCATGATTCCTATGGAACCTTCTCAAAGACCAAAAAAAAAATCTTACAAGGATTTTTAATTTCACTTCCAGATATATTAATGATGATTTCATCCGTCAATCAATAGCTGGAAGTATTTAAAACCTAAAGGACTACGTACACAAGTTTGTTTTCTGAAAGTATAAAAACTGTGTGTGTCCCTTTTGAAAAAGGATAACTTCAACCCCCGCTTTCAGTTTGTACCTATAGAAAAGAATAAAGATATCAAGGAGTTTATCAAATTAATTTTATATTAATTGATTATTATTGTTTATGTTTGTATTTTATGTGATCGTCAGAAAATCGTCAAACATCTGGTTTTCAACATTTGTGTATGTTTCGGCAATACGTTTTAATTTAATGTTGTATATATTTCCATGGGAACCAATTCCGCCCCTTTCATAGTAGACTTGTTACTGTATTGTTATGAATCACAGTTTATTTCATAAATCAGTAAAGATAAAGTTCCTTTTAATTGATAAATTTGATAACACTTACAAAAATGTTCTGTTACCTTAATGATACTTTTGCTTCAAATAATTAAGAATGCTCTCATTATGCTGCAGAAGTTTAACTAATGGGACTTAATTTTAATAAATCTTATATAAACAGCAATAATTGTCCTTTCTAAATTTGTATATTTCAGTTTCACAAAGGACAATTAAAAGAGATTTCGTTCCCTGTTGTTAATTGTCCTTTTCTGGACGGCAATGTTCCCTTGAATCCTTCCCCAACTCGTTCGCTATTTGCACGTCCGTAGTGACGTTTGATATTTCACTGAATTAATCTATGTATAACTTGTTAATTGTTAAGTCAGAGATTTATTTTCAAACTTTTACTAAATCCTTTAAAATATACAAAGATTTTGTTTTGAAGTGCGGCTGTACCTGTAGATTTCTTATTAAAATGAGATATCACATCCTAATGTTTACGGTAATGTTATTCTTAAAACACTTACATTTAAATACGTTCCAGGTAATTTAATTGATCTATTAATTACACTTATTGTTAAAGGGTATCATTTTGACACCGTAGTAAGATCTTTGAAAATTGTTTTTATCGGTACTAATAAATTATGACAATCAAAGCATGACTAAATATGTTTTGTTTAGTCCTTTACCCTCTCGATATAATGTACTTATATTTTGGCTTTGCACAAGGTCATGTTCTTCGCAAAAATTTTGTAACGTCGGATGTGTAACGGTTGATTCTTTAGTCTGGGAGATCACATGCTTTTCTTACTAGTTGTTGTCGGCTTTGAACTAGCTTTCAGTAATTGCGAGAACCCTTATATAGGTATTTTGTATCTTTTGTCATTTTTTTTTTAGATATTTTAGTGCTTTGTTCCAATATGGCATGTCTAATAAGTCAGTTATTTCCAACGGAATACTACAGTTTACTCTTATGTCGTGCTATATCACCATTGTCCGGAGTTATTTGGAGGGTTCAGCGTCAACAAAAGTGTAGAACCCCGCAAATTTCTATGTTTGTCTGTCCCAATCAGTAGTCTGTAATTTAGTGGTTTTTGGTGTTTTGTTTTAATTGTTCTACATTTTGTCATGTCAGGGACTTTTAAAGCCTTTAGAGCTTACTATGCGGTGTGGGTTTTTCTCAGTGTTGGTGGTCATACGTTGATCTTTGGCAATAATACCACATATCCTCATTTTTTATTCAATTCAATCATGAGGCGCAGTCCACTTTTACTTTAGTTATAAATTAAATTAGTGCAACAGATACGCATTTCAAACCATTTTGTTATTATGATGATGGTCATACGCAAAACATTGATGTTCAAAAGATATTTATAGATTATCGTTGGTCATCTCAACGAGATTGATTTTCTCGCTTGAACCGGTACGGCGAAAGTGAGAAAAGCAATCGAGTTGAGATGACCAATGACAATCTGTTTATCGCTATTTTACCTATGACGACGTTGTTTATTTAATTGACAAGGCACGTGCGTGCGCCCTTAGTTTCTAGCGATAATTTTTCATATCACTCTACTGTGCTGAGAAAGGTAATTATCAGTCAGTATGAATAAAGAAAAATTTCGTGAAATAGCGATAAAAGTATTTATACATCCCGCCATTGTGTTATTGTGTTATTTTTTTTTTTGCTTATGTTTTATGTCTATAGAGTGTCTATATGCGTTTTTTGTTTTTCTTTGTTGACATAGTTGTTTGTTTTAATGGTGATTAAGATTATAGCACAATTTTGACTGATGTACCTCAATTTTTGATATTTTTACCTTTTATGTCTGTTTGTTTTGCTCACACATTGTTGCAATATAATGGTATTCTATGCAACTGTAATACAAGTGGGAGGTTTGACTAGCTATAAAACCATGTTAAATCCACCATTTTCTAAAAAAGGAAATGTCTGTACCAAGTCATTCTTTTAATGTGTTTTAGCTTGTGATTTCGCTGTTTGACAAAGGACTTTCTGTTTCGAATTTTTCTTTGAGTTCGGTATTTTTGATTATTTAATTTTTTCTAATACGTCATGTGTAATTTGATCATTTGTCTTTTCATAAACAGTGATTGTCATCTAAGAAGATCTATTGGCAGCCGTTATTAAATGCTCCTTTCAAATGATTTCCCAATATTTATTCAATGTAAATATAATGGATCTATGATCATCATGGTCATTGGTTTTAGGGCAATTTGGAAAGAATATTCCACATTATTGAAACTTTATTTGAAGATAATCTCTTTTTCAGTCGAAATTTAGAGAATTCAAATCTCTAACACGAGTTGAGCGTTGGCTGTTATGTCAAGATATTTTTTGGATGACCCTCACATAACATTATTATGTCAAACATTTTATTATTTTATTGATGCGATCTCCATTCCCATATTCAGTCATTAAAATTGTGTTTTCTGAACATATTCATGTGTACGATCAATGAGTGTCTCCTATAAAAAAAAAAAAGACGCAGCCTTGCTTTTCCATAACTGAATATAGAAAAATATGAAGAAAAAAAAGAACAATCAATATCATAAAGAGCTAGAGAATATATCAAAACGAAAATTATTACTTTTTTCTGTATTATAATTTTTTTTTTACTAGCGAATGTCGTAAAAATTGTCAACTCACTCACGTGAAGAAATTTATTTTTAATTTCAATATATTTTAAGTCAAGCATGACAAATGTATACAAATATTAAATTGGGGACAAAATTTTATTTTATTGTAAGTTTAAATATTACACGAACATTTGATATTATTCTAAATCAGTTTAATATTTACAGTTGCATCTTATTACACATTTGCAATTTCATTTTTATCAATATCATTAGTCATTTCCTAAACAAAATGATTGTCATCTTTACAGTCATGCTAGATGTAGCAAGTAAAGTTTCGCCAACATACATGTGCCACGATGATCTGAAATAGAAAGAAAAGAATGACGTTAACAAACTACATTATAATTACACTAACTCGCAATTTGATATATTGCAAGTATTAATATGCAGTATCATAACCCTTACGCACTCTATGATATCTGCTTGGTACAAAAATGTTATAGGAATCCACTAAAACATAGTAAGTACATGAAGGCTAAATCACAAATATTACCATAAACAAATTAAAACGTTACACTTCATTAGGTAGACTATCGTTATGCAATATAACTAATTTGACGGCATGCATTTACGCAACTGTTGTTGGATAATAAGAAATTATAAACTGCATAATGTTATATACGTTTGTCCACATTAATATATGTAAATGTATCGTAAACATTTGTTTCTACAAAAATTTATAGATTTTGGTTTTTGTAGGATTGAGTGTTTTTTAAATACTTCTAATTCGCCTCTAAGAAACATCCGCAATATAATGTGAATTTTATCTGTCATGAGCATAAAGACGGTTTCCACTATATATGATAAGATAGGAAACTAGTCACTTCTCCGTTTCACTTGCCATCAAACCTCTAGGGGTTCGTGTCTGTCCGTAGTATAGTATATTGTTTGTCTAATCGTCTTTATTACTTTTTATCATGATGTTCTTCGACTTATGATTTTCCCCATTGTATCTTCTTAAGTTAAAAGAGACTTACCATTTTTTTCAGCAAGCAGTATTGCTCCTTGCAAATTCGTCACCGTGTGGTGGTCGGTAGGAGAAGGTTACTGTGTTGTAGAAGTTTCCACTTGATACTAATCTGATAACAGTGTTCTGGCATGCAACGATTGTTTCCAGTGGTCCTAAAAATACCAACAAAACATTTTAATTACAATTGTGTACGTCTTGTTATTGTCCTTGCTTTGACACGCTGTAATTACTATTATGACATTGATCGTATTTTAAGGGAAACACAGGAAGTTGTTTAGAAAAATATTTAACATTCATTAAATGCTGAGCAGTTTTCATCAATTCGAAGTAACACTATATATTATTCTTAAAAAATGGCATATGGATCTAAATTGCAAAAATCGTTTTTTCTTCCTTCTTAAAAAAAATCGGACAGGACTCTTGGTTAAAAATTTCAATATACACATAACATTTAGCGGTATTGAGGTATACAAATTATATAATGTTATACCTGTGTTTGACTTCATTCCACATACGATTCCTTTCCTGTCGTTTGATTTGTTCAGTTCAAAGCTGTTCCCTCCCATAACCTCAACGAAATCAACACCATTGGAAGTCATGCACTGAAATGTAAAAATGAAACGTAATATATGCGTGTATATTAAAACTATCTACCTATATATGACTTCAAAGAAACAGCTTGTAAAAAAACATGGAAGATACCAGTTGTGATTTATGTCTACAGACGTGTATTTATTCTACATAATTGTACTGATATATAATTTTTGATTAAATATGGAGCTAAAAAGGAGAGGGAGTTTCCGGACTACAATATTATCGAAGGGAGAAACGTCCTAGAGAAAACAAATCTATAATCTGTTGATAGCTACTTTTCTTTGCAAAAGTTTACAAGATCTTCATGAATTAAATAATACACCTTTGATTAAAGGGTTGTTAACGGATTTCAAACGATGGGAATGCAATTGTCATTAAATATTAAAATTACAGCACACTATTTGATTTATGTGAATCCGAAATAATTTGAAGTTTATTGGCCTTTTAGTCCATTCGCCATATCGACTTGAATAAGTTTCACACCTTACACAAATTGTTTTCGGTTGTCAATTGTAGACTGGTTCTATAAATGGCAAAATTGGCAGTTACCTATGCAAAGCTGCTAAGTTGAACGTGATATGTAGGATTTTAACCAATTTTCATTGAAAAATAACAATTAATATAAAATCGTTTAGCTTAATAAAGATCAAAATTGAATTTATGATTTGAAAAACTAATGAACATTTATAAACGGACCTCTTAATTATAAGGTCAATTCGCAATTGGCAGCTACAAATGACATCAAAGAAACAAGGCTTATAACCCCATACGCAAGAAACAAAAGACTCATTAGTGACCCTCGAATCAAAAACTGTAAAAGGCCAAATAAATAAGGAAGTTGAAGAGCATTGTGGACCCAACTTTCCGAAAGGCTTTGCCAGATATAACAAAGGTAATGTATTCCTGATGAAGACACCCCTAAGTATTTCGAACAATTCAAAGTTTTGTAAAAAATTAATGTATAAATGTGACCATATCAAATTATTCATGAAGTGATTTCGTATTGTCAAAATAACAATACAACAACGTATTACAAAAGATGTATTTGATATTTAATTACTTTGTTAGTTATTCCGAAGTCTGCTTCCATGAGAGCATGTTTAGGTGTCACGCCAACATCCACAGAGTCTAGCTTGACAGTTTCTGGATAAATAATGGATACAGAACAGTTTCGTCTTGAACCAAAGTTCTTCAGTGTGTGGATCCCTGTCTCCGTTGATGATACCACGTTGCAAGCTATAATATAAACAAACGCAATTAATGTTTGATATTCAGATATAACTTTCCCGATGAATTTTATTCTCTGAATTGCTGTTACATCATACATGCAACTAACGAAGTACTGTGAATTAAATTATAATGTGTGTATCAATTTTTAAGTAAAGGAAAACTGGTATTTTAGTGGATTCTTCATTTCTTGGTATTACAAAAATTCTGTAAACATACCTAGTAAGATTTTGTATTTATTGATATGTGTATTAGTGGTCCACTTATTGTCACAAAATCCATGCAAATTAGTACCAAAAGAATATCTACGTGTTGTAGTATATATAAAAAAAGAAATAAATCATAGTTACATATAAAATCAAAGCCGATATACAGATATCCAACTACAACTATAATGCATAAGACTGTCATTATTAGAAACTCATAAAATAGCTATTACTATACCATGTATATGACATCAAAATCGTTATTAATATTTTTAACCACTATAATACAACCAATAATCCAAAATTACATCATAAGTTAAAATGAATGAATCAATATGATGCAACTACTAATTTAGATTGGAACTGTTTCAAAAGTACATTATTTAATAAATCTGACTTTACAGGAATTGTCTATATTCAGTCAAAGCTTAGCCTTAAAATAATCCAGATGTGAAATTAAAATGATGTTGTTTGAAGATTCCAATCTGTATTAAAAGTTCGAGTAATGTCGCGAAAAAGAACATACTAATAACAACAAAATGAGTTGAAATGACATTAAAAGACAGCAGAAAATAACTGAAAAAATGAAGAACTTCAATATTTAATGCACTCCAGTTATAACAAAGAGTTTTATTTTTTAACAAATTGGTATTAGAAAATGTTTGTACGAAAGTAGGATCAAAATAATAGGAGAAAATGAACAAAACATTCATTTTAATGCACTTCAATATATAATGCACTCTAGTAAAACAAAAAGTTTCATTTCTGAATAAATTGGTTATTTTTTTATATTTTCGTACGAAAGTTAGATAAAAAACAGAACAAAATGAACAAAACTTTTCATATAATAAAAATGCACTTTAATATATAATGAACTCCAGTTATAAAAATTGTTCATTCCCTAATATATAGGTATGTTTTGTTTATAATTCTCGGCTGTTGTTAAAGCAATGTTAAAACAAAGTTATACCTTGCGAAAGGGATTAAATATTAAAAACAATGTGCGTAACACATGTAACAATGCCATTGACCTACAGGTTCGCAATTTTCCTAAATAAATGATAGTGTAGTTAAATAATGATGTCAATTTCCTTGAAGTAAATAATTGTGTTTTGGGTAACCGAGAGTTACCTATGTAGTCAATTCAAATTATTCGGTGTGATCTCAACTAACCACAATTAAGTACTGATTCTACACTTTCTCCAGTATAAAAAGTTGTTCAATGCACCAGTTATTTGCTAAATGACAAATAGGATATACATTTTGATGTTGCTAAGCCACACGCGATGCTTTATTTCAGAGTACGTAATTGTGCTCCAATAAAACATAGCTCAATTAGAAATATATAGAAAGAGTTGATATACCAAATACAAATAAAACAATGAGACAGAAGGGAATTAGTCAATTACGTCAGTGAAAGAATCAAAAAAATTATTAAAGGCATACAAATTGATTTTTTTTATCTTTAGTAACATCACGATGTCTTGAAATAAGTTTCTAGTATACTCGAATATAGAACTTCTCATAATAAGTCATTATTACACTGACGTCCAACATGGTGTATCGGGAATTGAAATAGTTAGTATTATTAACGATATTGGTACATGCAATGTGGTCAATTATTTGACAAAGACAAAAAATGTTGTAAGCACGTACTCTATCATTACAATTATGTAATAAAAATGATTCCCATTCATGAAAATCAAGTACAAACCCACACACACGAACACATACAATACAAAAGAGATTACATCAATATTGTTAATTTCGTAGTTTACGTGATATATATCAATACAATTAATATAATTTTTGAAGACGACATTTATGTCACAAAGAATTACGGAATACCAATATAAACAGAAAATGATGACATTTTACAATTTGCAATAGTCTAATAATGTATAACAACAGGGGTGGATCAAGGATTTTTCAAAGTGGGGGCGTGGTTCCATAAAATGGAAGAAATATTGCCAAACGTAGCGAGGAGAAATATCTTTTTGAACAAGTTTATGCTACAAAATGATGTATTTTCCATTCAAAGGGGTGGCATACTGAATCCGCCACTGAATAAGTAGCTTTTCTCAGAGCATGCCGACTGATGCTTCGTGTTAAACTTTGGTTTTCAATCATCAACTTCGAGTGTTTAGACAAAAAGCAGTAAAACTCACGAATGATACAAGGCTTATAAATTATTACGCAAGACTCGCTTTTCGTCTACAAAAGAATCACCAGTAGTACTCGAATCAAAGAGTCTATGTCTTGGGGTAGAACAAAGTATTCAACCGTTTTAAAGTAGTTAAGATTTTTCATATATATTTCTCCTTACAGTTGTTTTCTATCCGTTTGATATGTTTGAGCTTTTGATTTTGCCATTTTTTAAAGGGCTTTCCGTTTTGAATTTCCCTTTGAGTTCGGTATTTTTGTTATATTACTTTTTTTAACCAAGTCTTAAAACATGTTATTTGATACATGTATGCATCAGCTTAATTTGTGTTAATAATCTAATTAAAACATAGATTGATTGGTTGTTTGTTTAACGTTCAGTGGCAAATGCATACATGTATTCAAAAAGTATAATCTGGAGATTTTGGTCAAATTTACATGGATGTATTTATTTGAAGAACATAGTGTTGTGTAAGCGTTGACGTGGTTAACAGGGTTCTTAACTACATAAAACCAACCAACCAATAATAGTTTATTAAAACATTAGATTATTTCCATGATACGTGTGTTTGTGAACAATCAACACACCAATGAAATGACACAACCGTTTCTATAGCATTTTTTGTAGATTCACATTTTGCATGACATTTTTCTTAAATACGTTAAAGTCATAAGCGTATCCTTAAAGTATCGTTGTTAGTACACTTTTCATTTCAGAAAGAAATCTCACGGATAAAAGTGCTTACAATTTTGAGAAGGATTTTTAACATATATTGTTATCTGTTTTGTACAAAGTGTTACCATCCTCTACATTCTTACAAGTATTTAACAAAAATTAAATTGTATTTTGATGTAATTTTAGATTGTAACGCGTTTGAAAGTAGATTAAGTTGTATAGTAGCCATTTTTATGCTCCTCAATAAGTTCCTTATATAATATCCTCATCCATCCTATTATCAGGTACAAATAAAGAACTGAAGATTAAGTACTGTTTTCAATTTAATAATTTACAACTTTAACTGTTCTGTGAATTATCAAAACTGTGACAAAGCAACTTTAAAAAGGATTTTCCACGTAAAGTATTTCTGTGGAAAATGAATTACATTTAAATTATCGTCAATTTCAAGAAGCAGATGTCTCATTTCTTGAGATCACCTCGGGAAATGCTAAATAAAAGTAGAATTATTCAAGACATTATTCTAGCAAGCCATTATTTTTTTGGACATTTTAACATGGCCTAGGCCGTTATATTCGAATTATGTCCCGACCTTTATCTTACATTCTGTTTGAAATAATGCTGAAATTTGATGCCTAATATATTTTCAGTTATATTAAATTTATACATGGATGTCACTGTTACATCGTATGCCCTGTAATTGTTGAAATATTTTGCCCCTTCTCATTTTCTAGTCTAAAAGGTTAGCCACTGTAAAGTGATTAAAACAAAAATAACCCAACCTTGCTGGCATACTGCATTGTTTAATCAGTACCAAAAAAATTTTGAAAAAGATGAAACATGTGTTTACGTTTTTCTGTAAAGGTGTGCTGTTAACGGATAAAAGTAGCTGCTTCTTTTAATTACGTTATTCTCGTTTTAGAAATATATTTTAAAATTCAATTTGTTAGATTGCCTGTATAGATGATGCTTTTGTTAAAGAGTTTTACATAAGTTAGTCATATATTTATTATGAACCATAATCACTTGAATCAATATGTCTTTTCTTGAAATAAACAGCATTGACATATTTTGCTTATATTTCATTCTAATAATTTTTTTTTAAGTGAAACGGGTAGTTTATACTGTAAATGTTCATAAAATTATGTGTGTACATTAGCAACAACATTTTCATTATTGAGTTTAACTTGTCTTTACTTAAGAAAACTAGAAAAACATCCAAACTACATCTCATACTTTTTGCTCTTTGTTTTTAAATTAAGGTTGCTTTTATCAATGAGGTTGGCAAATAATACGGATATTTGTGTCCCCAGGAGATCATCAGTCGAGAAAGACATACAACAATAAGACCTAAAGAAAAAAGATGAACAATTTCCAGGTACACATTATATGTGTCCATAAAACTAAAATCGAGTAAAGCATGAGGGTCTGGATGGGGTTTACAAAATAGAGAATGATACATAAACCATACAGAATAAAGGGCCACAAAATAAAGAATAGAGAAAAATAGCCATACAAGTTAGAGAATACAAAGGTAAAGAACCCCCCATCAAGACCCTTAAGCTTGTCACAGTAAAATTAATACTTACGTTGTGGCGATTTAACAAATCTAACTCGAACTCTAAATCCTTGTCCTGCTTCGGTTATAAGGTGTTGTATTAAGGCAACATTTTGTGAAACCACAATCGTTTTGGACGGTTTTCTAAGATTACAGAATGTCTGATAACGTTCTTCTAAAGTTAATTCATGATCTTCTGGGCTTGGAAAAAATTCTTCATTCATCTCCCAACCATCTACTAACTGGAAAAGAAATACAGATTAAGTAAATAAGTGAATTTCTGACATTGTGTTTGTTGGTTTTTGCGTGTCGTTTTTAATTTTAATGTCAAAATTTAAAGCAATCCCATGAAAACTTATTAAATACTACTAGTTTCGAAAACAGGAATAGTCATTGATCACGAAATACTTTTGTGTTACGAAGTATGCACCTAAATTCTATATAATCATGAAGTAAAAATTAAATGTCATTTCAAACTTTAAATCAATCCTACGAAAATTATTAAAACTACTAGGTAAGATAACTGAAAAGGGCAATGCTCACGCAATACTTTCTTATTTAGCATGCACCTTAATTACATATAATCATGAAGGTAACTTACAGATGTTCAGGTAATAATTCCAATGTACGTTAAATCTCATTCAACTGGTGAGCGACAAGGGAACAAAAAGATTTAAACATGCATAAATCCGTCACGTGACGTTACAAGCATGACTTAATACACTGGTAGAAATGTTAGGTAAGGGTTGATGAAATTATTCATCAGGAATTTAAGTTTTAGGGCATTTTTTTATTAATTATAAGTAATACATGTTATTTTTACGGAGTAATCGATGCAAAAACAACTCAACCTTTCACTTAATATAAAGCCCTTTATTTGTTTTTGAGCGAGTCAGTCTAGTTTATACATCAATATACTTCTTCAAAACAATATATTATGCATCAGGTATAGACAGACCAATCTATGATATAAACCAATCGGAATGGAACGAACTCCAGACTGAGTGATACCTGATATTTCGACTATAAAAGGCATCTTATTCATTCATGCATCACCAATCTCAAGATTCATTTCCTACTTGTACTGTGAATGCATGACATAAAGACCAGTTATAATGGCAGTTGGAAAAGAGAGACTGAGCAACACGAACCCAACCAAAATACTGGGGTGATCTCAGATGATCCGGAAGGGTCAGCAGATCCTGCTCCACGTGGAGCGCAGTGGACACGTTGGGCATAAATTGTAACTAGTTAACTGGAAATGGAGACTACAGTGATAAACAAGTGTGTAAAGGTAGTCGAGAAACTTTGAAGATAAAAAATAACACATAACATGATATGCGTCCGAAGTGCTTTTCTGGATTTGAAGTACTCAGGAACGCTCAGAACCAAAACTTAGAAAGCCAAAGATGTATAAGACCCGAAGATGATTTCAGTCTTTCTTTCATTACAACTTTAATCTTCTTCTACATTTCCAATGGTGTTGTCTTACGTTTATTGGGTAGTACTATTTTTCAATCTATAAATTATCATTACAGCTATACTAAATAACCAGTATAAGTCCGGCTCACAGAAATTAATAATAAGCATTTAATAAAGTGAATATTTAGTAAATAATCTTCTCAACTCAGTTTTACCCTTTGGTATCTATTTTTGATAGAAATTAATCGATGGATAGATAAGACACAAATAGTAGATTTCTACAAATTATCAATGGATAACATCAAACGACAAGTAATGACTGTTTTCCCCATGACCCGGTAAGCCTATTTTCTTTCTGTAATCTAATAATATATAAACAATCCCAATCAAACGACTATTGTTAGAACTAATATAAGAGTCAATAGAATTAAGTGTTCGTCTAATAGATAGAGGAATATTGGTCTACATTGACGAATTCATTGATGATAAAACATCGAAGAAATTATATTATTGACTTTAAGACGTTTTCTACTAAATCGGACATAAAGACATACATTTTGGATTCATCTGGTCATTTTGCATGTTCTACATCTCTATATTCAGATATACAATAATTTGATCTTAGTTTGACACTTTAGTAAAAAGCCATTCGATAATGTTACCGGTGATCTAGCCTTTCTTCTGAGTCTCATGTAACTTGATTATGGGGGTGTTATTTAGAATCATCAATACTGTCTGAAAAATCTCATATATTTATTTCTCAAGATCACTTTACAGCCATTAAACTTTTAAGTGTTGTTATTGCCAGGCCTTTACGCATCAATAGGAAAACATATTTTTATGACAATTTCTGGTCTAATTCATTTTATCTTGAAATTTCCTGCAAGTTAAAAACGAACCATAAGTACTAAAAACAATGGTATTTTACTTCTTACATGAATTGTGGAAACATAAACGTATTTTGTTTATTTATCGTTTACATCTGAACAATAGAATAGTCTATTTCTACAGTAAAAAATCACAATATTAAGATACAATAACAAACTTACTGCTAATAATCCTGATTCACAGCTTATATCAAAATCTAAAAATTGTAGTTCAATGACGTCTTCTGGTGGACTAATAAAATACAGACCGCATACTGAACCACTTCCGTCGGATGTGAATTTGTAATCTCCGGGTTCTGCAGCCATATGCATACATCCTAAAAAACGGAAGCAATAAAAATATGAAATATTGTGAGTATAAAATTGAAAACAACACGTCTAATAATGCCATGCGTCCGAAGCGCTTTTCTGGATTTACCTTCATCAGGAACGCTCAAAGCCAAACATTTGAAATCCGAGGGATGTATAAGTACCGAAACAGTTGAAGAGCTATATGACAAAAATACCTAAAACAAATAGCCAAATCCATCTAAGGTCAACTTTGCCTGAGGGAGTTGAAACCTTAGTTTCTTCATAATTTCAAAATTTATAAACGAACAATTTTAGAAAAGTTTGTTATAAATCATGTCAGTACCGAAGTACTGACTACTGAGCTGATGATACCCTCGGGGACTGATAGTCCACCAGCAGAGGTATCGACCCAGTGATGTAAAAAATTGAAAACAACACGTCTAATAATTCCATGCGTCGGAAGCGCTTTTCTGGATTCACCTTCATCAGGAACGCTCAAAGCCAATAATTTGAAATCCGAGGGATGTATAAGTACCGAAACAGTTGAAGAGCTATATGACAAAAATACCTAAAACAAATAGCCAAATCCATCTAAGGTCAACTTTGCCTGAGGGAGTTGAAACCTTAGTTTCTTCATAATTTCAAAATTTATAAACGAACAATTTTAGAAAAGTTTGTTATAAATCATGTCAGTACCGAAGTACTGACTACTGAGCTGATGATACCCTCGGGGACTGATAGTCCACCAGCAGAGGTATCGACCCAGTGATGTAAAAAATTGAAAACAACACGTCTAATAATTCCATGCGTCCGAAGCGCTTTTCTGGATTTACCTTCATCAGGAACGCTCAAAGCCAATCATTTGAAATCCGAGGGATGTATAAGTACCGAAACAGTTGAAGAGCTATATGACAAAAATATCTAAAACAAATAGCCAAATCCATCTAAGGTCAACTTTGCCTGAGGGAGTTGAAACCTTAGTTTCTTCATAATTTCAAAATTTATAAACGGACAATTTTAGATAAGTTTGTTATAAATAGTATGTGTTTAGGGAAGTGAATGAAAATAACATTTTATTAGCTATATTTCTGAATATGACATTATGATGAACGATAAGAAGCAACACAAAAATTTTGAAGGTTGAGTGACGAACTATTCGAACAAAAGGAACCTAAATAGACTAGCCAAACTCATCACTTGTCAACTTTGCCTAAGGGAGTTGGAACCTTAGTTGCTTAATATTTTTTTAAGTTAATCAACGGCGAATTTCAGTATAGGATAACTCATGTCAGTGACGAATAATATATCGTTATCATACATGTGTCATGTGTTTAGGGAAGTGAAGTTAAGCCGTAAAAAGCATATACAAAAATATCATTGATGCATAATATTAGCAAAACCAAAACAAAATGAAGAGGACAAATCAGGATTAAGTAGCACATGTTTGCTAAGGATTGTGCGAGTTTGTAATAAATTTCACCATACATGTATATGTAATGAAATATTGTACAAACAAGTAATAAGTCTACAGTAACAACATCAGTAAACTACTGTTGCCTTCATTGATCAACAAAATGCTATTCAAATCTTACTTTCAGGAAATGAAATACGCATCGAATATTCTGTCTTGATGAAAAGACAATTTAATAATGTACGATGATCAATAAATACAATGTTTTTGCTGCATTAAAATCGAACCAACGAAGACATACAAGACCAATGATGAAAAGAACAAACGACAATCATGGTCCTGTTTAAAATGAACTTATCATCAGTATATCAATATATAGTGACTGTCATAGATTCCATATTTCCAACTGTATGTCTATGAAATATTTTCTATGAGCATTTTGAAGGTCAACCGACATGAACAGTAGAAGAACTCAACAACATCCATTTTTAAAAACAGTATCTTATAAGATGACTTGTATAACTGTAACCCAGTTAATATGTCTGATTAGAATTATTTTATCTTATAACGGAAACTTTAACAAGTGTTTCATTTATTACTCGAGCTTAGAACTGTAGATCAAACTAATTTTGCTACATAATTTGCTAAATGCTGCGTAAAACCTACTAAGCATATTCTGAAATACAATTGTTTTTTTATTGTTCTGATCTAAGCTGACATTTTATTTGTCGTGATTAGAAAGAATCCCGTAGGAAATAGCAGGACTATAGGTTAATTATTGTCAACGACGTTTAGCCAAGATCATTGGAAGATAAATCGGTCTAATCTATGGTAGAAATCGAGAACATTGTTTTGGACATCTTATACGTTTGTCTTTGACAATATATGATGATAATGTTATGTTTGTTTTTTTCCTTTGGTATCTGTTCCGTATTTTTTTAAAAGGGTACCGATATCTTTTCTTGTACTGTTTGTATGCTCACATTGTATAGTTATAACAAAGAGGGAATGCTATACATGAAAGATAACACTTAAATGCGGTTTTATTAAGTATTTTAGCTTCTTTCCCTATATTGATTCCTATCAAATTAGACCGATAACCGTCTTTGACACAATGCTTCTGACGTACTGTATCATTGATGAGGTTTTACAATCACTCGGTCAATGTCACTGCTTGTACACGTTTCATCCCGCGGGTACCACAATTTCAGTAGTCAGCATTTTTTTCATAGGCATGATATATCATTGCTATTGTCATATTCTGTAAAAATTTCTGTTCATAAAACGATAAAATTACTCGAGACACTGATGATTTTATACCCCGAGGTATTGATGACCTTGGCACGATTTTGCACAACGTTTGCAATCTTTTGATATTCAATGCTTTTCAATTTCGTTATTGATTTCGCCTTCTAACCGCTTTGATTCGAGCGCCACTAATGATTCTAATGTAAATAAAGCATTTATCAGGCGTACTAAACTATTAGCCTGGTATCTTCGATGAGCTTTTTTTTCATTGTCAAGAAATGTGATTAGTGTCAATTTCGAAGTTTACCAATTATACTAGAACACACCCGCAACATCGCGGGTCCGTGGCTGAATTAAAGTACCTACATCATATTTTTAGTCTGGATTTTTATTTTTCGTATTGTCATGCTGATTAAAAGGTGCACAGTTTTCTCTACTTTCAAAATCTTTTGTTTGAACCCGTCTTGGTTTTCTTACTACAACCGGAAGCTACATGTGACATATACTATAGGTATAGGTATCGGATTCGACCCGGAACTTGTTGATAATTGATAATATTAATTATGTGAAAAATAAAAGTGCCTGGAATGGTGCAAATTTTTAATCAACACAATTGTCCTATAGTAGTTATAAATAAATAAAGTTGAATAATTTGATTCGTCGTTTTTACGTCATGTCGGCTAACAAATTGGACCTCGTTATTCTAGTAGTATAGAATTTATTGTCTTGTTATTTGTATATTATTACTGTTCCACCTGCTACATAGTGTTTTTCGTTCATATTGCTGTGGGTTTTTTATTTTCCTTTCAGTCACTTCGTTTGCTATTTTTTGTCTGTCATGTTAAGTATATTAGAATTGGACAGCCACTATTCCGATGTTCAGAAACTGTTGAATTAGAGTCAAATTTATCTTACAAAATTTTCTAGAATGTTATCCAAACAAACTTGCAATGTAACTAATAACAGAAATACGAAGATTAACACTATAGTCGAGACAATTGTTAAAACAGCAGAAGTGCAATAAAGTATGTTCTATGATTAAAAATAATTACAGTTAATCATTACCTATATCGCCATTTGTACTTCTTGTTTTTCTTTTTAGGAAGTCATATTTCTTTGTATTCTACAATAGAAAAAACAAAAAATTTTACAATACAAAACTGATGTACTAATAAAATATTTCCTAATAAATCATGGTTGTTTAAGATTATATGGAACCGGTTATTATGGATACCTGTATGAATAAACAGAAAACTCGGACACCGAAAATCCTCAATCTGGTGCAAAATACCTCAAATAAGGCAAATATACAATTTGTCAATCTTTAAATCATTGCGAGTATATAAATGCTGTAAATGTAGATTTTCAGCGATCTGTCATTAATATTCCTGAATGACAAAGGACATTATGATTGAACTTACAGCTGTTATGTCCTTGTATTAGATAGGGATAACAACATGTGGCCGTTACGAAAAACAACTCTCTCAGAGAATTAACCAGATACCCATAGAAGAATTACAAGACAGAAAACAGAAAAGACGCTCTTTGAAATACCAGTATAATAGTCTTAGTTCAAGTAAATGTAAAGCCGTATCAAAAGAAGGCGTGCAGTTACTTCAATCAAGCTAAAGGAACTTTACTGCTGTTGTAAAATGATTCACTCATACACTCAAGTAGCTACAGCTGCACTTCATTTAGCAATCGCATAAACAGTGCAGGAAGAAATACTATCCTGCAATATTGGGAGTAAATTCTACAGATTTTAAATCAGGAGAAAACAAAAGAAACATTTTCAGATATAAATCAGGGATTTTATTACACAAATAACACATACCAACGCAATGATAAAACAACAACTGTATATGATAACCAGTGTTAGATAATCTTTCATTCGCATAACGAACTAAACAATAATAATAATAATACGATTTGGAGGAAAACTCCTAATATAGTTAGCTTTATAAGTAATTAAACCGTAAACTACTTTTTTGTTTATTCAATTCCTGCATAAGTGATATCACAACAATAACTTCTCATATTTGAAGTAAATTCGGAAATGAAAAATTACGTGCATAGTTTAGTTAAAATATATTTTTGGGTAACTTTAACGTCTGGGTGACATTTAAAAGCAAAAATAATAACTAGTTCTTATGACTTATATTTACTATGTACTACTATAATTATTTGCGAAACTTGAACAAGATATATTAACTGTTGTTCCTATTTAAGACTCTTCAAAAGACTTTCCATCTGTCTTTTTAGAGGTTTTGATTGACAACCATTATTAATAGGACTTTTGAAAGATGGTAATGTATGACCTGTCACAAATGTTTTATAAAAAGATTTGATTATACACAAGAAGTTCAATTACTAATGCTCTTGTCAAAACATCTGTTATTTAATAGATGAAAATTACAAAATATTGTATTATATTGTGTTTCTTCCATATAATTTCAATGAATAAATTTTATGTAACCACATACAAAAGCTGTTCTTGTGTTTCAGTTTCAATTAAAATCCATTATTGCATGACATGTTTGAAATAAACTTGTCCTTCAACTTTGTTGTGTTTGGCATTTCACATATGGAATAGTACCAATATTTGGTTCCGTCACTCCTGAAAGTCCATGCTAAGAAATCCGATATGAACTTTTAATTATTCACTTCCTACATGAAGTTTGCATAATTGAAAAATTAGTTAAAGACTGATCTGGTAATGACGTTTTATATTTGTTATCATGTAGTGTTATTCGACAGTGAGAACAAAGAATTTCAATTATTTGTTAAATTATATGCTGCAGGTTTTCGACAAGAAAACAAGACACGGTTACCCTAACTGATTAAAACTGTTCACTTGTAAAAACTAAATATATATATATATCTTTATTGAGTTCAACTAATGAGAATTTATGAATAAACAGTGATAGATGGAAATGAGACAACCAAACAACACTTAGATAAGTAGAAGTGACAAAGAACCGAACATTTATACATTGTGAAATGATTTAATCTGAATAACTGAACAAAACATTAACGGTACCAAATTTACTGTACCAGATCGACAATTAATGTCTCTTCATTGATGCTCAATGTCAAAATGTTTGAACATCCTAAACTTATTCGAAATTGAAATGTATATTTGATTGTGATATAACCTTTTTATTTAGCTCCGACTTTGTGATTTCCAATTCAAGAAGTCAATCTCAGTGGTACATGTATTAGGGCAGTAATACATAAGAGAATTATTCTAATGCAATTAGTTTGTATCAGTGGTTCTGATTGGATGTCAGTAAGCGTACAATTCTCTATCTCCTTGTCTGTAACTAAGGAAGCCGACATTTTGAATTGCGGAATGTATTGACATGCAATTTTTACAATGATAAGCAAAAAACTCACATGTTGCACCTAGAAATCTTCTTTTTGTCAAATTTAATTACATTCTAAAGCGGCCAAGAAGCCAGAAAACGCCCGGTGTTTACGTTTGACGGCGGAAGCATACCTATGACGTCACCTAGTTTAGGGACCAAAGAAGATAACATCTTTAATGAGAATTTTACACTGAGATAATGATTGAAATTGAATTATGTACTTGTTTTGCATTAGCATAGCGATAACTGTATTGTATTTGAAGCTTTGCGGACGTCCATCGGTAGTTTTACTGTCGCAAATTTAGTTTACCTGGCGACGCGTAATTATGACATTATATAAATAACACATAACTGAGAGGGTGATAGAGCAGATTTTTACCCCGAGAAAACATTGTCATCCGAGGCAAAGCCAAGGTGACAATGTCTATTTGAGGGGTAACAATCTGCTCTATCACCCTCTATGATATGTGTACTTTAATTTATTATACTGAATGTTCTGTTATTACTGTCTATTAAATTTCTCATAATGAGATAATGATTGAAATTGAATTATGTACTTGTTTTGCATTAGCATAGCGATAACTGTATTGTATTTGAAGCTTTGCGGACGTCCATCGGTAGTTTTACTGTCGCAAATTTAGTTTACCTGGCGACGCGTAATTATGACATTATATAAATAACACATAACTGAGAGGGTGATAGAGCAGATTTTTACCCCGAGAAAACATTGTCATCCGAGGCAAAGCCAAGGTGACAATGTCTATTTGAGGGGTAACAATCTGCTCTATCACCCTCTATGATATGTGTACTTTAATTTATTATACTGAATGTTCTGTTATTACTGTCTATTAAATTTCTCATTGAGAGTAATAAACTATGACGTCTTGTATATAACAACCATCCATATCTAATAAAGCACACAAGTGATCCAGCGTCTCCTTGAAGGGTGATAGAGTACTTGCTATAGGATAGAGTAAATTATCTCCCTCGTATTAACCAATCAAAATCAGGCATTTTAACATGAAGCATAATAAATGGTTATATCGAATGGAATGCAGTTTTTCTTCCATTAAATCTGGTTGCTTTCAATATACTGATCGAATGAACATAGTAAAAATAGTCTAACTTGGACCTGTACAATGCTTTAGTTTATAGTTTATAAAAAAAAAATTGGTGTCATGACAAGCATGCTTATCACGTTCAGTTTACCATGAAATCGGAAGTCTCTCTTACCTACATTGGATATTTAATCCATATATTATTTTATTCAACATAACAAACATTTTTAATTAGAAAGACCTACAATAAATCTTTCAGTATTCTTCATTATATTTTTTCAGCAATACGCTATCATGAATATTCATCGCTAATGTTTGACATGTATGAGTGCAATTATACCTTGTATTGTATTTTGGTTGAATGCGTCAAATAAAGTACAAATTTCCAAAAGCAAACCATTAAACCACTATTTTACTGAGAACGCTTTCTTGTAAAAATATATATTATTAGATTTTATATGCTGTTAGAACCCCATCTTTTTATAAAACAATTGTGACCTTAAAGTTTTCTTTAATGTCATTTTATGTAATTGAAATTGAAATTTATATGCTTTTCATAAAATAAATGTAGGCCGTTGTCTCCCAGATGAGCAATATGGACTGGTGCCTCTCTAGTTTCTTACGATTTAAATCAAATCACTCTGGTAACCAGCTTGACTTCTAATTTGTAAAAATGCCAGGTTTACATATTACAAAAGTTAATTGATTTTCAAGATTTCCCATAAGCCATATTAACTTTCTGTGCATGACTTTTGATTATGCTTATTTATTAAATTTCTTTAACTATAATCTATCATATTTTCCGGTAATTAGCTGTTTACATCACGCGATATTTCATTTATCAAATGAAGTCTATTGTCATTGTATAACTGTCAATTCCGGTCATTCGGAATATTGAATCAATGTAGTCATTAAAAATGTGTCAAGTTCAACTGTTAGATCGTGTGAATCGGCTGTCAGTAACTTATGATTCCATAATAAATGGTTAATACTATGAGACAGTCAAACCAGAGAAAAATCGAAAGAATTTGTAAACAATTAAGTACCTATTTACATCTCCAGAAATATCTCATATCGGAAACATTATTTTAATGGCGTATATAATACTTCATTTGGTTTATGTATAGATATTCCTAATGTGGATTGAGGACAATGATTTTAGAGTATACAGATTGACCATTGTATGATTAGCAATATTGGGACCACATTTTAAAATATATAAAAAGACCCAGATTCACACATTTTTTTCCTGATTTTTTATTTTTTTTTTTAAATGTAAATATATTGATGACAGGTTTTATATGAGGGTCGTAATGGTGGTACCTTCATGAGGAATAACGGTAAAAAAAACTTGCCAAATGACGTTAACGGTAATATTTGGTGCATGACGATAAAATGTACATTTTCTTTATGACGATAAAAAAAATCGACTGATTTTGACGAATCACGTTAAATTCTTTCCAAAAAAAACGATAACGGTAATAATTTGAGACCTCTGACGAATCACACAATAAGGATACTTTGACGAATCACGATAACATTTTAATCAATTTGAGGCTAACGGTAGCCGAAAATGACCGTTTGACGACTGACGGTAAAGGGCATTCCTACCCTCTTATATTGGCTGTTTTCAGAATACTAATCCATAAAAACAGAAAAAAAAAAGATAAATATGTTCTCTTAATTGTGTGCAATTA